GGGGGGGAGAGAGTGTGAAAGAAGGAGTATAAGGAGAGGATGGTCAGGCGTGGATGAGTAATCACACAAGATACAAAACGTGGCAGTAAACTAATGTCCTACCTTAATGCGTTCAATCCCTGCCTCAATCCTCAGCTGTTCCACCAGTTTCCTGGCCTGGGCGATATTATTAGTGGTAGACATACTGATCCATCAGACTACACCAACACAGGAGAAAACTGAATGAGAGAGAGAGAGGGGGAGATGAAAGTTTTACTACACGGACAATATTGGATGATTTTTCATCAAATATCGGGTGCAGGACAGGGAAGGAATAGGTGTCTCCTGGCTACTAAAATGGATTTAGGAACATAGTTTTGCATGTTCAGACTGACAAGCGGTCAAGTTGTTGATTGTTGGTGGTGTAACTACATACATTTACTTTAATACTGTACTGAGTATTTTAATTTTTCACCACTTTATACTTCTACTTCACTACATTTCAGAGGGACACTCTACTTAATTTACCCCACAGCTACAGCCACTTTGCAGATTATAATTTGCCATATGTTCACATTATAACATAGCATGAAATATGTTAAAGGTTGAACTAGTTTATAATAAAGTACTTTAAATGAGCTTTGCCAACTACTGTGTGCCATTAAAATGCTGCATGCAGTATTAGGGATCCAATAATATAGTATATAATAATGTACTCTAACAAGGACCATTTTCTGCATGAGTACTTTTATTTTTGCTACTTTATTTTTTGTTGATGAAACTTCTTTAGTTTTAAGCAAGTTTTTTCATCCTTGACTTTTATTTTGATGAAATATTTTGACATTGTGGTATTGATACTTCTAAAAAAGTGAAGGACCACTGTTTGTTGCATATTAAACAACACACTTGTGAGTTGGAGGCTCAAAGATCAGATGAAGGCCATGTATATCGCATCAACATCTGTACGTTTCAAAATTGACCAGATTAAACAAAGACAAAGTTTATTATGATTCCTGATATAATTATTTCACTGACTTCAGTAGTAGTGTGCAGTAGAGTTATAGCACCACTATGAGGTTACTACATGGTAGTGCAACACTATCAATGAGTGAAACATGACAGTTTCTTGCCCAAAATACAGTTTTTGGAGGTGATATGCACAATATAACGAAAGATGGAGGTTGCAAATCACCTCAAACATTATGATCTATGCTTGTCATTCATGCTCAATATTGGTAAATCTTTTTTAGCCTGTAGGAAGATAAATACACAGAGATAATAGAGTGTTACCTGACTGATGGTAGGCAGACTCTCTGAACACAAACGTGACTGGATGGAGAGGACAATCTGAGTGGTGCAGTGGACAGTTGCCAAGTCAATCGACAGAGCTGGACGGCAGCTGAGCTCACATTGGCTTGTCTCTGTGAAAAAGGAGAGCAGGTGAGATGGCTGCTTACAAAGCTAGTTTACAGACTGGCAAACATTTTATACATTTCATTTTATTTATATAATTTCAAATGTTAGTTTCTATTTGTAGTTTTGTATACCTGGAGTTCTAAAACATGTTTGATGTCACAGATCCCAAACACCTTTTGGTTTTCAGATTTAGCTCCATGGTCCCATATGGGGAGTTTTTTTTATATTGTTTTAGTAATTAGAGTGACATCTGCATTCATTCTTGTACTATTTTGAGTTGGGATAACTGCTGACTTCAGTTAGAAAAATCACACCTTGCATTTTGTCCTGCGTAGGGCCCAACGAAAATGCAGTTTGTAATATTTTAATATAAAAACTGCAAACACTTTGAGCTCATGAGGGAGGAATTTACTTCAATGCCAAACTGTCATCATGAGCCTTATCATTCGTATTACAATATCTGTCATCACAACTTCATTTTTCTTCACAAAGCACCAGTAATCCCACTTAATTGATTAGATGACAGAACATTCCTGTATCACTGATCCCAAAATTTTTTTTCGAGTCCTTTCATACCTGTGGTGTCTAAAACTCATTTAAAAAACTCCAGTTTCTTCCTTTTACACTTCTGTTAGCACAGCGTAGAAGTTTCCCCACCGGTACATATGATCAAAGCACACCTCGCTCCTCACGTACATCACTATGAGTGTGTTACAACTGTGTCTCTCACTGTGTCTCTCTGTCTGTCGCCATCTCTCTCCCGGGAGGAGAGCCCTGCTTTAATTACTCCTACTGTGGAGTAGCTCAGAGATTCATGTCTGTAATTAGGGCTTTTGTGTGTGTGTGTGTGTGAGAGAGAGAGAGAGAGGAGGAAGTGAATAGACATATAACACCTGATAAAATAATCTCTCTCTTTCTGTCTTTGCACAGACATTTGTGTTATTATACTTGTGAAGACATTTATTGATTCTCCCCCCAGTCTAACCATAATTCTGAATCCTAATCCTAATCTTAACCCTGAGCCCAAATCGTAATCCCTCAAATTACCCCCACTTTTGTCGTGACCTTTTTCTGTTCATTTGTTCTCTCTCACACACTTGTTTTTGATGGCATTGCATTGATTTAAATGAGTTCCCTGAAGATTATGGATGGGTGTATCGATACTGCTAATACTTAAAGTCTTGTTTTCAGTATCAATACCAAAAAGATACCAAAAAGAACACATTAGTGTGATGTTAGATCACATTCTGGAAATGTAAATACTCCTTAGTTCCTTATTAGTTCAAAGAATTGACACAATAAACTTTTTTAGAATACAAACTACTGCAAAATGTTCCTGAACATTAATCTAACCACCATATACCTAAAGCCAACCCCGACCTGAATGTAATCCTAGTTTTAACCCTAAAATGTAACGGTTTACCTTGTGGAGACCTGTTATTCGTCCCCAAATATGAGGTGAGTGTCAATAATGTTACTGTGTGAACAGATGAATGTCCTTAAACGTGTTTATTACAAGTGCACACACACACAAACACGAACACACAACCTTCCCATAACAACATATCTTCTTATTCTCTTTCATGGTTTGAGGAGGGTCCCTAAATCATCCCACATGCAGCGTCTGACAGCCAAAAGAAGAATATAAATATGAACAACAACAACTCCTAATAATAAACCAAGTAAACACCACGAAATCAGCCAGGTAAACTACCACAGAGCTGAATCAACACCAGTCACAAAAAAATAAAACAACAAGCTTATTGAACAAGTAGTTTCTTTGTGTGTGTGCTCTTATTTTGTTGCCAAACTCTTATATAGGATCTGCTTCCTCTAAAATAATAAAAGTGCCACCTTTTAACATAACTGGGCATATATTGAAAGGAGGTGACAACTCCTATCCTCCTTGTTTACAAGCTGTTGTGCCTTTCGCAAACTTTAGCTTTTTTGAAAGTGCACATTCAAATGCAAATGATGGTTTTGCTCAGAAATGTATGTTTTCATATTTTCTCATATAAATAAGCAACAAAAGACAGTGCAGTTAAGAAATATATTGCCTAAATCACTTTTTTTCCACACTTCTGTGATATCATAAACCTAGTGCTTTGATTTCTTCAGCCTGTTGATTTTTCAAACTTTCTGCTATGGCGCATTCCGCGCTGAGAGGAAGAAGCTGTACCCTTAAAAACCAGCACAAATGTTGAACGTTTGCCCCCTCCACAGCCAAATCTCTCCTCTTCTACGCCCCCCAAAATGAAAACATTTGCTTGTAAAGCCGATGCACAGAAGCTAGAACCTATACAACAAGCTGGTCATTTCTCTTGGCCTGGACCAAAAACATCACCAGAGATCTGGACAGGCCCCGGCCAGCGAATGAGCCTTGCGAGCCCACAGCCGCTCTCAAGACGCGCAAAAATGCATCAATCCTTATTGATCCTAGCTGCTCCTGAGCGCTGATCGGGCCTGCAGTTCGAAGCCATGTCCTCCGCTATAGGCCCTGCTTTCTGCTCCACCGTGTGAAAACACAATGCGGGCATTTTGATGGATAGAACAGCATGTCCTCTCTCTCCCATGGCTATCCACACTCCACACACACACACACGCATACGCACAGGCGCGCAAGCACAGGCAGACCTTGTGCACATATCAAAGCCAGGGATATTTTCCCAAGTGAAGACCCGACTAGACCGCTTCAGGACTGAAAATAGGCCCTGATTGTTAGCCGTGGGAGCAGGGTGGTGACATGTTTTGAGGGAGGCAGGCTCCAGCGGCCAATATGAACCCATCCAGCGACAATGGGCACAAGACTGGAGCGCATGCCTTTATGTTCCGCTATTATGCAAATTGATCGGGATACGGCCTACTTCAGTAGATAAAATCCAGAGGTTTTTGGATACAGTGGCTTGCGCGTCCTCAAGAGTCCAGCCGAGCTGTAGGAAATCTTCCACTGACCCTGTCCCCGGTCCTCCCCACCCTCTCTGCCGGCAAAGGGTTGGGGAAAACCGGATTCGTGACACTGATGAAGCCCCTCTTCGCTGCAGCCGCCCTCGGTGACGAGAAGCCGGGGTTGCAGAGGCGCACAGACGCGTTACAATTATTATACACAGGGAGAAAAATACCCGAATATCTCCAAACTCACCTCCGAATGCGCTGTATTGGTGATTTAAAGGGCCAGATCCGCTGGTTTCTCACCCTCTCTGCTCGTTCACTCCCCGTCTTCACCGAGCCAAACGCCTCCCCCTCCGTTACCAGTGTCTGTCCACTCCTCTACCCCCCCCCCCTCCTCCTCCCTTCCCTTCCCTTCTCTTCCTACCTCTCTCCTTCTCCCTCCCTCCATTCGATCCGGTGACAGCACCTTTAACCCGCAGGGGCTCAAAAACAAACAAATTCACGCAGATCTCCCGAATGCATCCTCGAAACAGGAAGAGCCTGAATAGATGTGTTTTCCAATTATTTTTGATTAAAGGAATAATAGTAGGCCTATATTTAATGGGAGTCATCTGTTTTGTTGGGGACCTCTTTTCTAATCCTGTAAGTTTGGACATTTTAGTGGATATTTTAATGGGTGACACTTGCATGAATGAAAGCCCCATTCAAAATGAATGGCCTGATCTCAGTGTGTTCACATTTATTTAGCAATGAAGTAAAAAAAATAATAAAAATAAATAATATATATATTGCTTGATACCCCCTAAAAAAACATGTCTTTTTGTTTAGAGGTTAAATGGCTTTATCTTCCCACCAGCGGATTTAATATCTGATCTTTTTTTTGTATCTATTATTATTAATTATAGCTGCTGGCTCTGATTCCATGCAGATAATTAAATTATTTATAGGCTAATAATAATAAAAATGTAGGCTATATTGCTTCAGCATACATGCTCACTAGTACCCTAAATGCAGTAAGATAGTACATGTTTTTCCAGGGGTTCAAGCGTCTAAATATGTGTTTTTCTTTATAAGCATCTTCTTTGCACAGGATTTAAGCTACTAGGGACAACACAAATAAATAAATGAAGACAGTAGTGCAAGACCTCTACATATTTCCTTACATATTTTTTTAATTTTACTGTAAACTACTTCAAATAAAGCACTCTGTCATTTCTCTGTTGCCATCATGGCCTAAAATAAACCATATTTCACAACTCTACCATGACCTTAACCCCGCTCCCTATCCAGCCTGCAAGTTGTGTATTTCCCCTCTGTCGTGCACATCTGGATCTGTGTACCTCTCAGTGTAAACGACTCGCCTCCACATGAGTCCGCTGCGCTGTGCTGCCACACAGGGGCGCCATTGACCCAGCTGTAGTTCCTTCTTCTCTTGGGAGGTGTGGGCCGCTCCTTTCTATTCCTGGCAGGCCCGGCGCAAAAACACGCATCCTCCGTTTCCACCGAGCTGTAGTCCACTCCTCCACACAGAGCTAAAAAGTGCTGCATCTGCTGCCTGATTATTGGCAGATTGTGGACCATTCGCTCTGTGGTGAAGAGGACATAAAGGTCTGGTGTGTAGGATTTTTTGGGATCTTTGTTTTTGGGCCATGAAACCCTGTTGATGCTGACAGAGATGGAGATGTAGGTACATTCAGTCTTAGAGCTGCTTTGATGCAAACATGCGCACTTCTGCAGCCATGGCTTCACGTCTATGGAAACCCTTTTCTAGCTCCTTATTATAACCACAGGAGAGCTATTTATAACTCCCACAGAGTACCGCATTGGCCTCATTTCCACTGACGTGTGAAATTATGCGTATGCCTATACATTTCTCCTTCATTTGCTCACCTTTTAGCTTCTTCATTTGTCTCTCTTTCTTCTTCCATTTCACCCCCTGTATCCCTCCCTCCCTTCCTCCCCCCTGAGTGTGTCTTGTTGAAGAGACAGTGTGGTTACAGTGGATTACAGCAGAGCTCTTCATTTTCTAAGAAATCAGCGGTGGAAGCCCATGAGTCACAACCAAAAGATGCTCTCAGGCTGACAGAGGTGGCACCCCCATCCACCCACCCACACAAACCTTTTTCTTTTCTTTTTTTTTGTATTTTGCTCTGAGCCGTCATGTGCATGCTGGCAGGCGTGTCTTTGACCTAATACATAGACTTCCCCTCGTTGGTTAGAAGCACAAGTGTGTGTCTGCGTGTGGACAAGAGAATGGTCTCATTAAAATCCAGCAGAGGGGTTGCCACACTGGCCTCAGGGGAGAGAGTTTTTTGTTGTTGTTGTTGTTTTTCTTTTTGTCTTCCTGCGTTGTTGTACTCCAGCAGCAGCCTGGGAGACCTGCGCCTGTCGTAACGCATCTCTGTCCCCACGGTCAGACCACACTCTGATGCGACAACCGTCGTCAACGTCACACCGTCTCCATAGCAACCGCGCTGGGCACAGCATCCCCAAGCAGATGTGAGAGTGAAAGGAGGGAGAGAGGTGGTAGACTGGATCCAGCATCCTACTATGTTCTCCAGTAAGGGGGTTAGCGTGCAGGGGTTGGTGTGTATGGCAGGTACATGGCCCACAGTACTTAGCACTTAGCACATATTTGATGTACTTGTACTTTACTTTGAGAGTATTTTATACAACTTTATACTTCTACTCCACAACACAGCCCTAGCCTAATGGCCTAATAGCCTATTTGTCTGACAGCTTTACAACTGTAAAATTCTACACATCAATAATAACAATCCAATAATATAATTATATCCAATATACTTTGATTGATTGATGTTCTAATAGGCTAATGCATTGGTACTTTTATGTAGGTATGTTGTCAATCCAGGACTTTCATTGTGAGTAATTTTATATTGCAGTAATGCTGGTTCTATTTAAGGATCTGAAAACAGTATAGCTGAGGCTGATGAGAATGTCATTAGGTTTTCAGTTATTTAGTAAAATAAAAATACTATTGGACAAGGTGAAATTTTGTTGGTGCTATGGCATTAGAGGAAAAGTCAGGGTAGAAAGACAGTAATTCATCCTGAGGGGGACATGAATGTTCGTACCAAATGGCATGGCAACCCATCCGGTAGTTGAGAGATTTGACTCAAACAAATGTGGCGTTAGAAGAAAAGTCAAGGGAACACATGAAGTCATGAGGATTCATCCTCTGGGAACCATGAATGTCTCCAAAATTTCATAAGAATACATCAAATAGTTGTTTGAATTTGGACCAAAGTGGTGGACCGACCAGTCATCCAAAAATCAAAAAGACGAGAAACACTCCTCAGTTCACATTTTTATTAGGAAAATCATTTTGCAGATTTGATTATTATTATCATCTATATATATATATATATATATATATATGTTATTTTCAGTTATTCAGAGGATGCATCAGCACAGTATATCTTAATAGGAAGACTATTGCTAGAATAAATATCTATACATCATAATTAGTTAAATAAAAAAAGTCCCAACAGAAAAACAAACAAAAAAAAAACCAATAGAATAATTTACAAAAAACAATAAGTGCTTTAAAATAAACAAACCATTTGCAAAACTGAAGCCGTAAATGCTGCTGAGGAATTTATTTAAAAAATACAAAGATGATTCACAGTTTGTGTCCTTGTTCTCATGCTGGCTGGAACACCAATAGGGACCATGCAGGAATGAAGAGCCAGAGTGACAGGATAGTACCAAACTACATTACCCACAAAGTCTATATGCCCCACTTTATGCCCCGTCCACAAAAAACAGCTTGTGAGGATCTGAGGCGATCAGACAAGATGTAAAGGGGTGAGCCGGAGAGGTTAACAGGGTCAGTTTTCCACTCATCCTCCAACACTAATTTTTCTGCCCGCCTCTTAGCGCAACTCAACAGGACTGTAACCTGCCCTTGTTGGTGGAAATGAGTTTATGGAACATACCTTACAACCTTTCCTGTGTATTTAGACTTTACTGACTGCCCTTTGTTTCAGCATCACGGCATCATGTTTCCCATCCTGCTATGGAAGGACACATGTGAACCACGCTTCCTCTGCTGTACAAGACTCTTCAGCAACATGACCAACATGTGAGGTGAACTTTACCTGGTTCTAATTTAAATTTTGGTTAAGTGCTCCCTATGTAGGTTTCTATGGAGACCCAAAGTGCTCAATATTAAATTAATAAAGATGACATTATGAAATAAGGAATCACACAAATTACATAAAGAAAAAATATATAATTAAACCACAAAACTGTAAAATAATAATCGAAAATAACAAAGTCTTAAAGTCTTTAAATGAAAATTATTTTTATCTTGCTTCTTTGCACAATTGCATAATTTCATTGTAGGACATTTTTATTTAGTTCCATTTTCTTTTCCAAGTTCTTGTCACAAAGACTGTTTTTATGTCACAATTTTTCTCCCTAGTGATTGTTTATTTTATAATCCCACTTTTCATCAAAACAAACAAGGAACACATTCACAACTGGTTCTGTCCTGATTGACAGACTTGGTGATGAAAAGTGGTGTTATAAAATAAACTGTTCAAAATAAAATTGACATTTGGAAATTAACAACACTGAATTAATTGAAAATGACCTGCAATAAACTCTGTCATTGTGAAAAGAAGCAGAGTAAAAAATGAAAATAACAGCTGAAATCTAAACATTTATTGTATTATTACAGATTGTATCTAGTCATTTTACAGCACCTTATTTAATTAATCTAATATTGAACGCTTTGGGCCTCCATAGTTCCCTCTTTAAAAGTCAATTAGCTCTTTTTCTTGCAGAGAAAATTATACCATACTTTGGAAAAAGCCCAAAGTTTTAACAACTTTATGACAGCTGATGAAGTTGACATAAAGTCTTCTCTGAAGAAAACTCAGGTGACGGCACCTTCCCACCACAGATCATTTCCTCTGCACTCTCTCATGTCTGAAATATTAAGTCCTTTGAACACTATTTACAGCTATCTACAATCAGATGTGACCATGGTCGGCCTTCAGTCTGTTCAAGTGCAACCGACTCACAAAAACACGCACACAAAAAAATTATTAAAAAAAATAAGGGGATGAATGTGAAAGAGACTCAAGATTTCCGGGGGCAGACAGCTGATTTATGGAGAAGTAATGCTGACAGTGGTGCCTGTACAACAGCGCAGAGCAGAAAAACAGCCAGTGAGCCAACGAGACTTCACTGACAAGGCCTGTGTGTGTGTGTAAGTGTGTGTGTGTGTGTGTGTGTGCACCTAAGGGCATGCAGTCTGTCTATTTTGCCTCCATGCCTGTTTTATGAGCCTGTGTGTTTTTATATGTGTGTGTTTGTATGTGTATACGGGTGTGTTTGAGCAGTGCGGGATGACTCATGCAGAAATGTGTAGGCATTCTCCACAGGAAAGCTTCAAATAACTGACAGACATTTCATATAAGATGGTACAACAGCAACACACAAACATGCACACACACATTCATGCAGGCCAGAGTGAAGGAATGCAAATAGGTGGCTGATTGCGCACATACATGGATGCACTCATGGTCACACACACACACACAGACGCAGGCAGCAGCAATGAATATGCTCCATTGACAAATGAGATGAAACAAGCCATGGGAGGACGGGGGCAGAGGTGTCTGTCCTGATTCATGCCAGCATTTAACTCACACAGCCCAGAAACTCAACTGATGCTCACACACTTCCCATGCACGCCTCCCCACATGCAAGCACATTCTAATCCTAAACAGGCCGCGATCAGTGCAGCTTCACTCCATATTTTCACACTATTTCTATTAATAGCACAGCTCCCTCTCTAGCTCCAGCTTGTTGTCCATACTGCTCTCGCACGCTGTCTCATTGTTTTTTCCCTCCCTGTTGTATCATATTCCACGCAGGAACATGAACAACAACGTCTCCGATAGACGTCAGCAGACCAACAGATTGCACAAACATGCGATGCAATCTGGCGTTTGCATGAAGCATCCAGAGGTGTCAGGCTGATATTTATGCAGGGTGTGCATCACTGCTGCCGGTAGCTACACATCAGATCAGACCGGAACTGTCTGGTAGTTGTTCCAGCTTTAGTTTTGTTTTGTTTAAGCTTTTTGACCTTTAGATGGACACAACAGGTAGGTACATGTCAGAAATCATTCCATCCTTCTAGTATCTTAATTGGCTAAAACAAACCCAGACAAATTTCAAATACAACTTGTTTTTAAAAAAAATATTAATTGATGAAAAAAAGAAAATGATAGTACGAGTGAGCATCCCTGGCATCTAACAGGTAAAGGGTACGTTTACAATGCAAATTTTTGATTTTAACAGGACCTCACATTAGTGCAAAGTACAACACATCGATAACAACGGATTCATTCAGCTTTTCAAGATAAAAAAACGTAACAGCCATGGAGTGGAACCTTTAGTTACATATTCACATTTTGCTAGTATTATCTGATTGATAGATCTGAAGAGTGGATGTGTCAAATACAATATATCATTATTAAGCTGTATATTACAGTACATAGCAACATCGAACCTCCTACTGTAACAACATTTCCTGGTTACAAAGGACTTATTCCCAGAAAGACAGCGGGTACAGTTTTCTTTACATGGGTAACATCTTACTTGAAGCTCTTATGAACATTTCATTCAACTACCATATGCTTATTTACAATAACTACACATTTGAAATAGTTCTTATGTGGGGGGGGGGCGTGAATAATGCAGGAGGGACATTCTACATGGTGCTTATAAATGAGGCATTGCTGATTAATAAACAAGTCTTCAAGTAAAATGTCACCCTAAAGTGCCCAGTTGTTGATTCTGCTGCACACATAAAGACAGAGAAGGAGACAGATGAAAACAGTTGCTGTGCTTTTTCTTTTTTTTCCAGAGAGATGGACACACAGTTAAAAGGGGCATCATCTGTGTCTTTGGGTTTAACAGTACAGGAGCAGATTATCCTCCACCCAAATTGTTGTTAAAACCGCCTGAGAGATGGAGAAAACCAGACAAATAATCTGACCCTCTTCCGCTTCCTACAAGCTACGAATCCCGTGAGGTGACGTCACATTTACACGCTTCACGGCCACAGCCAACCTCGCGATACCCTGTTGTTCAGCAGAACCACAACCTCATTGTGCCATGTACTGGACAAAGAAAACACGTTACATCTACATCGAGACGGAGAGCTAGATCATGATGCGCTTGTTCCTCCATGTTCAGGACTGATGAATGAATGTTAAAGATGAAAATTGAACAAAGAAGACAAAAAAGAAAACAATATACAAAAAAGATTGACAAAAAAATGTACAAATAGATATGTTGGTAAAAAAGTATTGTGCTTTTGGCTGTCCTGTGTACACTGTGGACAATATTCAGAGCTCCTGTGTGGAAAAAAAAGGTGTATACATGCACTTTGGACATACAGTAGAGCTATTTAATGGCTCCAAGAGGATATTCTGTATTAAGCAGAGATCATTAATACATAATATAGGCAAAAAACAAAAACAAATTGCAGTTGTGTGTGTGTTTATGATATAAAGTGCAATGTGAGGGCATTTAGGCTGAGCGAGCCCCTGTTTGTCTTCATGTAATCCGTCAACAGTGTTACACAGATTGACTTTTTTGTTTTGACGCTTGCATGGATGCATTTGTGCGCATGCAGTGTGTGTGTGTGTTTATGTGTGTGTGTGACCCATTCTGTTTCCTGTTTACCGATGCCTGCATTAGCGTATGAGAGGTAATGTGACCAAACCAACCAAAGAGGAAACAGAATTACCAATACAGGTCGCACTGAATAATCAGCATGGAGCAATTTTACATCCATCCCTTATTTTATTTATCTTTCTCTGTGTGCTTTTTGTTTAAGGAGGGTTTTCTTTTTACTTTTACATGAATTTAAAGAGCATCATAACACAAACAAACAAGAAAAAGAAAGGCAAAAGAAGAGAAACCTTCACATGAAAAGTGCCAAAGCAAACTGACATTCTCACCCTCAGAACCAAAAATCCTCCCAGTTTGCTTTCTGTCTTACCAGCTTGGCAAAGATTATCCAAGTGTATCATCCTCATAGACAAGGCAGGCTTGTATTTCTGTTTCGTACTTTGATGAGAGTCCAGCTTTCTTTTCATCCAGAGTTATTCTACAGTAGATGAGAGTCTTAAAAGGATTGTTGCGTCGTATCAGTAGCGTGTGTGTGCATACCCTGCCGCTGGATGCTTCTCCACTTCAGATGAGGACATTTAGAGAGTCTGCAGATGAGTTTTTAACATTACGACAGGTTGATAAAGGAAAAGTAAGGTCTTTTTTTATCTTTCAAGAGGGATGGTTAGGATGAGAAGATGATAAGATTTGTCCTCTAGCCACGAATTTAAGCTTTAATGCGTCGAACCTCACCATATTCCTGTGGCTGATATACTAGTTTGGGCAGGGCATGTGTAGACTAGATGGAATATATTTAAATATCCCATGTTTATTTACATCAGAGTCCTCAGGAGTGGCTCTGGGATGTAGCCCAGTCATACGTTTTGCTGCTGTAACGCGTGTTGTTCATGCTAGCAGTCTCAAACCTTCAGGGGGTCCTGTGCTTTCTAGCATGACGGACACCTCAGTCTCTTAAAATAGTGTTTCTACCAGATGAGTGAGCTAACTAACTGTGTTGACTCTGTTACTTATACATTACGTTTCTCTATATTTGTTATAGTATGCAAAGGATGAGGGTGCTGGGATGATGAGGGGGGGAGTTAAGGAGTGAGCTGAGCAGGGATGGGTGGGTGTAGAAGTGAGAGAGGACACTTTTGTGTAGATCAGAAACCTTCAGTGTTTTTTCAAGGGGTGCTGCAGTCTGTGGTCTTTATTGCAGTCCGACGTCTTGGTTTTGTGGCACTTGGATGATGCAAAAGTCCACACCCACGTTGTTTTCCGACTGTGACGCACTCTTCTCGTTTTTAATTTGCTTCTGCGTCAGTGCCCCTCATTTCTCCTTATAGTAGAATGCACATGGATGTAAAGCTCCAAACTGAAACCCTGTATGTTTTCAAAATAACAGCTGAGTTGTGTTTGTGAATGCACCAGTCAAACGGAGGAGGATGTGGATGATGAGATTCCCACTGCCTTGCAGACATTTTGCTCTGAGTGATACATTTAGTGAGTCTCTCCTCTCTCATTTTCCTTCTCTTCTTCCTTTCCTCTGTATTTCCTCCCCCCTCTCTCGCCTCCACCTCCTCCACCTCCTCCTCTCCTGGATTTTTACATCACGCTGCATTTGCCCTTCAGTCTCTCTGCGCGGGACTGCTTCCCCGAGCGCTTGCCGTCGATATTGAGGCTCATGTTCCTCTTCTTGTCCAGGTTGAGGAGCTCCTGGAAGAGCTCAGTGACGTTGTGGTTGGTCTTGGCCGATGTCTCCATGAAGGCGCACTTCCACTGGTTGGCCTGGGCTTCCCCGTCCTTGGTCTCCACCTCCCGCTGGGTCTCATCGCTCTTGTTGCCCACAAGCATGATGGGAATGGCCTCAACATTGCCCTTAATGGCCAAGACCTGCAGAGGAGGAGGGAAATGTTACATACTGGCTGGTCAGCTCACATTATAAATCTTACTAATCTTAACCCCAAGTATGGCATCCAAATAGAATATATGCCTAAAAGATAAAATAGAGGACATGTTCATCTATAGACCCAAAATCTTGAGACACAACTTTTACACACTGCTTGCTTTTCTGTAAAGCACTTAGTGTTGCACTTCATGCATGAATTGTGTAATAGAAGTGATTAATCTTTTGTATTTCCATTCTGCATTTGGTTACAATACATGTAAAGTATAATCATAAGAACAACAGTTCATAAGTAATCATAAGTTACCTATTTCTACTTGTATCAAATTACATTATTAATATTATTAAATAACTTGTTAATGGGTTGTAGATAAACTAATAAGGCAGTTGGCTGTTAGCCTATATATATATAGGCTTATTATATATATATATATATTTAATAGCTTATGACTGATCTATAAGGCATTACAAAATACTAAATTCATATATAGTTATAATAATTTATAACATATGTCATTTATCTCTTTAAAAGAAATTAAATACTCAGCGATGGGGGAAAATCCAGTCAATATCTTGCTGGAACTTTATTTGAACTGAAATGCATTTCAAGTTCTCGATGGACCCATTAGCAAAGATGGTTGTATATTTTTGCTGCAGTGTTTTTGTGTAGCGTTCCTTATTTAGAGAGAAATATTTCATTTAATTATATCTTATATGGTATCTTATTGCCCACAAGAAAATACTTACTTTGACATAAAACCAGTTTCTGGACAACATTGTAGTTTTTTTTCCTGTATACAGTTTACTGGAAGAGGTTCTGTTCCAGAAGTAAGAAAAGTTCATTCATAATCACACTGATATTTGTAATAACATAATTAAAAATACAGTTGTGTGTTTCACTCCATATGTCTGAATAAAAACTGTAGTTTTTAAAAAGAAAGCTTTTATGTGATTGTTTATTAAATATTTTAGTGTTTATTCAGTATTTAGTTTGTCAATATTTCCTGTAAATCCACAGACCTTCATAGTTTAATGTCACGGCTCGACAAAAGAGGCGAGTCCATGCAAGAGTCAAGGGTTCGCAGTTAGTTCAAACATGTTTGTAATAACAGCAGCACACCATGGCAGAGATTAAAAGTTGAAAAAATGGTTATGGATGAAAAGTTACGATAATTTAAGTACCTGTGCTGCGCTCATAAATTGTCATGAGAGCTGTAGTTGTTTGTATGCTCCAAAAGTAATTATTTAAGTTAGTCAAAATCACAAAGTTTTTAATTTTTTATCATGCTGGATTCCAATTTTCTTAGGATATAGAAAGTAAAACCCCAGGCTTATATCAGAAAGAGACAGAATGAAATATTTCATTGAGTTACAAAAACTAGTGGAACAGATGCTAACCTGAAGGTGATGTCAGTACTTAGGCACCTCTATATTGTAGACATGTAGACCCCAAACACATATAAATACACTCATACACTCAACTTTAACACCAGCCTCTCTCTTTATAGTACACACTCACCTACAGTCAACCACAGCCATCAACAAACACACACAGCATCACTCCCCACCTGTTGGTAAATGGGTTTGAGCTCCTCCAGGGACTGTTTGCTCGTGATGGAGTAGACCAGGATGAAGGCATGACCTTTAGAGATGGACAGGCGCTGCATGGCCGGGAACTGGTGGCTCCCTGTGGTGTCGGTGATCTGGAGGGTGCACACGCTCTTATCGCAGCTGATCACCTGGCGGTAGGTGTCCTCCACTGTAGGGATGTAGGTGTCCCTGAAGGTGCCCTTCACGAAGCGCAGGACCAGGGAGCTCTTCCCCACTCCCCCTGCCCCAAACACCACCACACGATAGTCGTTGCTCTGCTCCGGCATTCTGCCCCCCTCAGGCTTAAGACTGTGTTACACCTACGATGTTGAGTGTTGGAGCATGGGGAGGAAGCAGGGTGAGACAGGTGAGGGGTGGGGAAAAGAGGATAATTTTAGCAAAGAGGAATTTTTTAGCGATCAGTCAGCAGATACAAAGCAGATGGGGGAACAGGAAGGGAAGTTCTGGTGGGACTCGACCTCGGCCAGTGGGTGTGAAAGCACTCAACTGTCCTCGTGGTCTGACTGTGAGCCAGAGTACAAATTAGAGAGGATGAGGTTGGTCAGGCTCCAAGTGTTTCACCTGACGCAGACATTTGCCTAATCAATATTGTTCGTAGAGTCACAGTTTCTCAGTTTCAACCCCAAAAACATTCCAGCGTTTCCTCATTTATCAACTTTAGCAACTGCAGCAAACCCTGCAAGAGACAGAGAGTCCTTGCAGCATAGGAGAACAACAATAACAATAATATGAACTCATGTATAATACAACGCTATCCAATAAAACAAAACCTCAAACAACAGCTTTAAAAAGCTAGAGTTGAATCAACACCACACAAAGAACATTATCATCACAAAAGAAGTACTGTATATACTGCAGGACTTCTGCATTGGATTCCACTAGATTGCATGTGTGTGTGTGATAATGTGGACATAAATTGAATTTATGTATGAAAAAACTGACAAAATGTAAAAAGAATATAAATGTACATTTCAAAAAAATGTCTATTAACATTGGCCATCATTTTGGTTTTACAGCAACTGTTTTGGTTCAGTGTCACAGCTCTCATAGCCTAATTTCTATCAGCATTTCCTTCAGGAGTTTTCCTTCGGGGGTTCATGGAGAACAAAACAGAGCTAAAATGAGGATGAATATTGGACCTAAATTCACCATTTGGCCATAAACACAACTACAAATGAATGCTTATGTTGCTCTATATATCTGCATGAGCAAAAGGGCCATATGTCAGTGTTGTTATTACAGCTAGGTGTGCTGCCCTAAAGTGGCCAAAAAAATAATGCAGATTCAAGGGAAGTCATTTATCAAAATCAATATCAAAAGTAAAAGTACTCATAAGGCACAGAATGGACCTAGGGTCCATTCTGTGCCTTATTTATTACTATAAATATAGTTGGTTGAGGTGGAGCTAATTTTATCTACCATAAATTACTATTTGGTAGTTCAACCCTTAACAATATATAATTTCTAGAAACTCACTTGAGGTTTTTTGTGTAAACTTTTCATCTGAAAAGTAACTAGTAACTAAAACCGTCAGATAAATAGTGTATAGTGGAGTAATAGCGCAATATTTCCTTGTGAAATGCAGTGGAGTAGAAGTAAAAAGTAGCATAAAATGGAAATGCTCAAGTAAAGCACAACAAAATTGTATTTTATAATATTTACACTAGTAATTGAAAAGAGTATACAGATAAAAACAAAGAATTTGAAAACTATACCTGGTTTGTATTCAGCAGCAACAGTGCACATTGAAGGACTCTCTCAATATTACCTGCTGCAACTCATACATATGCATCAGAACAATGTCCTCACACCTAATCTATTGCTATCTTTGCAAGTGCTTGTGTGTCTGCTGAGCATCTGTGCATGATTACGCATTGTATCTGTTGAATTATTTATCCACTGTGGTTCTAAACTTGCTTTAAGGTCCCATAATAAGATACTCATTCAGTTGTGATCATGTGCTGCTCTCTAAGCTCTTGCTGTAATGAAACAGTAAATTGACATCAATACCAGATGGAATAAGTGGATTTCTGTCATGCTTGCACTGCTGGAACCCACTATTGATGGCAGGGCCCCTGTAATTGCATTGCTGGGTTCTAGATAATATCAGTCAAGGAGTTCAAAATAAATGAGGTTTCAGGGAGTGCCTCTTGAGTTTTATAGTCAATCTATAGATGTAAGACAGGGTGACATATAAAAGTGTTTTATATTCATGCTGAACACAGAAACACAGTTTAATTTGCAGGTGAGCCTGTGTCTTCTGCTCATAGGGCTGCAGACTGTTTTACTCTGATCTGACAAAGCAGATTAATTGTTTAATGGCTCTCCGGTGCCTCAGGGTGACGACGCACTCTGCATTTTTTCTGAGATAGTGAAGGATACTGCCTAAATTTTGCCTGTCAACAAGAATTTCCAGCGAGTTTGAAGCATAACTTCTGACATAAATGCTAACACCTGTGATTACAGTTGTTTTGGCCGCTTAAGGGTAGCAGAAAGTAGTTGTGAAGACAACATGGACACATCATCACCGTTCAAATTGATATGACAAATTTGTTGGCAAACACTTGCTTATTTACACGTCCCTAACACAGTCAGGGAGCAGCATAACTATTCAGTCACATTCCTGGCCACCTGATGGGTATAAGTTCAGTATTCAGTCTTTTAGCTCTGTTTTTGATCTCTACCATCTTCTGAAAAAGATAAATAACTGATTATTTAGCTCCACTATGTACAGAAGCTAGTCTCTAACTGTTTCTGTCTGCTGTTTGGTGCTGAGCAGGTATGTAGAGTGGGTTTTAGGTGGTACTTCACTGAAAACTGCCAGCTGTGGCTGAAAACAATGAGAGCTGTGAGAGTGAACCAAAACAGAAAAGTTGCAGTCTGGACACCTAAACAATGAGCTGAAATTCATTATAAAGCTCTGTAACGCTAAAGGGAGCTTCAGATTCAGGCAATAATTCTTTATAGGTTTATCACTATAAAAGAAAAACCCTCCACATTGTTGTCACATTGTAATAACAATACTGATTATAGCTGCTATAAACTTCAAACAAAAGTTTTACTCTTTGAAATAATGACAGATGGATAATTTTCAATGTGAATTTGAATGTGAAAAAATCAAGAGGGTCAAAAGGATTAGTTATGAAAAGCAATGTCAATGTTGCTTTTAAGTCTTGGCCTTCAACAACTTTGTGTTTTGAGCTGCCAGCTGAACACAGATTTCTGCTTCTGCTAAGACACAGACACGAGCACTAACAATACACTAACATGGTTTTATAAAGCCAAATCAGGTTTTCAGACAGAAGTCCAACATCAATCACATTTAGTCATCCCTTTTTGTCAGTATAAATGTATGAGTATAGAAGGCTATAGTTTTTATTTTTAAAAGGAACAACAAGGGTCTTTGGGGAAATTTTAGAAATGCTCCTTTTCGTCTTTTCATCCAGCTGGAGCGGCGTGTCGGTGTGTCTGTTACATCACAGGGAACGAGAGACAAAGTAAACAAACATGCTTTGTAGCCCACATGATGGGCAGAGAGCGCGTTGTTAGTGGTATTGAAGAGTTACGAGAACACCAGCATCTAATGTTTACATGCTGTTCAATCTGCTGCAGCTGAGCAGCTGCATTCGCTATGTAGACTGCAAACTGACGTCAGCAGAGTAATTTCCCAGGTGAATGTTGTTTTGTTGTTCGTTTGGTGGTACGTTCAACAAGCTACGGTGCAGCACAAAATGTGTGTTCATGTTTGTAAGTCAGATAAAGAGACTTTAGGGGGGACAAGAAGGCGACATATATCTTCTCAGCACCAACTGGCAGCGACTAGCTGGTGAAAATAGTGATGCGTTTAGTTTAGTAGAGTTGGTGGTGACCAAAAACAGAGCTAAAGCTTCTGAATTTGTAATTAAGGAACTATTTGCAGTTTACAGATTGTTTTGTTACCTCCAAGTGCCCAAAAGGTAATCCTGCAGAGAATACTTTTTGGGTTAGTACTTGCAGAGATCTGGTAACAGAGCAACATTGCTACAAAGTCAGGTGGGACCATTGACAAGAAACACAAGCATTCAGTTAATCAGTAAACTGTAATAAAATGTAAAACAGTTTAGCCAGATTATGTAAGCCTCTTTATTTTGAGGTACAGCTAATGTGAAACTGTTAATAGCAATCCCTCCTTGCAGTCCAACTTTTAGGTCAAAGTTGAAACAGCATGTTGGTTTATAAACTGTAAATGTTTTGGGTAATAATAAGTTTGCCTTTTCTCTTCCAAATAAATTTGGCAAAACAGGATTTCTTGTCCTGTCTGACTTATTTTTAGCAGTGTAGCTGTGTTCCCAAATCTCGGCAACTCTGTGAGAACAGTGTTATTTTTAAAGACAGAAATGATATCTGCAAGGGTGATTGTCCTTGTGCAGCTCTTACTTTGTCTTGTCTCTTAATCTATGCATCTACAAAATGTTTTTCTTTGACTTACTCCCTGAGCTTCTTTTTTTTTGTTTCTCCTCTGCCTCCTGCTCCCTCACTCCCCAGGTCTCTGTGCTGTATGATCAATAAACTAAAGCCACTGTGGTTTTGATCGATGGGGCTCGTCTGTCTGGGCCCTGTCAGTCTGTCATCCTGCCTCGCTTGGTGCCTGTTGGTTTTTGGATGCGGATTTAAGCTCCCCGACAATGATCCTGCTCATCAAAACCTTCCTCCGCTCCCTCCTTTCTTTCACCTGAACTAAAATTAGCCGCCTCCCTCCCTCTGTCAGCAACTATAACTGCACACACAGGTGCAACCTCACAATGACATGCATACACATGAAAGCACAGACACACACTGTACTTCCGCTCCTTCACCATTTGTCCTTGACACCAGGCCTCTGAGATTAATGACACTCCTCCCAAATGCAAGCTGTCTCTCTCCCTTTCCCCCTCCTCTTCTCTTGTTTTATTTGAAATGAGAGGACTGCAGTTCCTTAATGAATTAATGGTACACTATAAATGCATCTGTGGCAGTGCAGCCAAATTCCATTAGCAGATAGCTTTGGCACAGACCAAACAGGCCTGCTCTCCTCTCAGTCACAAAATAGATGCAACGCAGCCTTCTGCACTCGTTTATTTCACAGAGCGAGCAAGGAAATGTCACCTTTAGCGAAAATATGCACATAATTTTCCTCAAGAGAGCCACTTACGCAGTGGCACAAAGGAAGCGCATTAACCAACATCAAACACAATGCCATTCAACAGATCAAGAGCGTGATTAAATAGACACCCACAAAGCGGTCCCATGGTATCTTGTGGAGAAAGGGTTTTAATCAAGC